AACCAGAATACAGAAACTTCGGGGTTCCATCAAAACCTCTCTTATTCACAGAGCTAACTCCCCTAACTGAATAAAAATCTTTTTTTATCCTGGCAGTCATAAAAACAAGAGGTAGGCAGAGGAAGGTAGGTTTACGAATTTATCTTTAAAAACTGTAAAATGAAAAATGTAAAAATTTGCTGAGACTTTCTCCTTGATACTATATTCAACTGTGTCTCACTTGAGGTCTGAAATTCTTCAAATATATCTTACCTTTGTGACAGCTTTTGAAGAAAAGGTAATTTCATCGATAAAAGTGACAATATCATCTGGATCAAGTCTATCCAAGTACTTTGAACACATATCATATGCATGTAGCCATTCATCCATGGTTTCTGGTATTTTTTTAATGAGATGGTGATCACCATTCCAAAAAAGTTTTTGTAACCAGACAGCATAAATAGAGCTTGATGACAGCATGCCGCCATCTTTTTTAGGAATTTTGGGAGCCAGTTTGGAAATAGATAAGATATTTTGACTTGTAAGGACGGGCTCCAGTGTTTCCAGAGGGTTTTCATTTTCATCTGTTAGCTTTTTGTAATTAAGACCTATTTACAGAAGGAGAAAGAGGCAAACAAAATAAAAGTTATTCACAGTTAAATCTACTGAAACTCTACATTTATGTGTAAAACAATCAATACTAAACCAGTATCTGCAGAACTAGAAAGACTCTGCTCCATCTCCTTTTGCAACCATACATACGGAGAGACTAGGGAGAAAGACAGGTTTGTATGCAGGTAACACTGCGATTTTATGATGTCCTGATGCATGTGAAATCTCTCCATCTCTGGAACATATTTTACCATTACATATCAAAACAAAACAAAAAACCCAGATTCTCAAAGAAGCCAGAATATATATAGAATTATGCTATTATTTTTTTTAATATAAAGCGTAGAAAACCTCATGCACCTCAAGACATGAGTCTTCATTAATTAAAAAAGATGTATTCTGATCATGTAAAAATTGGCACTATCTATCTCAGCAAAAATGCACGGCACTAACCACAAGTAAACTAAGGTCAATTAGAGACAAACGTAGATCCATTTACATGAATATCTATGTAATACAAGAGTCCTGTTACTACTTTGGTTCCTATATGAAGAAAACACTTGCACATTATTCTAGCAACAACAAAATATATCTAGCAACAATACTACTTTATTCTCTATGCATGTAATTCCTAAAACATCTGACTTCTATTGCCATATTTTTCTTCATATGCTTAGGGACTGTAACCTCTACAAACACCTTGATGTTATTCCTTATCTACTATCTATAAACTATGCTGAACACTGAGAATTTTAACTATGGTTAACAGATGCAATAGATTTAATTTCTTACTACACAAAGTGATTAATTTATGTCTGATATACTGTCCTAGGACTTTTTTTTGAGCAATATTTAAAAATAATGTAAGACAATAATTTCTTGACAGATTTTTCTTTGACAAGCATCATAGAACTTGAGTGTTTAAACACATTTTAAACACATCAGTAAAAACTGAAGGTAATCCCTCCTCCCCAAAAAAATATTGCCTTTTTTTCTTCCTGCAATACATGACTTCATACACACAATCTCTTCAAATTCTGCAGCAAAGTTAGCATCTGATGCACATGGGGTTCCAGCATTGAACAATTAATTCATGCCCCACAGCAGGTAATCCGATACAGTGCATATTTTTCATTCTGAAACTGGATTTGGAGTTATTCAACTGAAATTCAAAATACTGCTAATACTTGACTAACAAGCAAATTAAAATTAGAATTAAGAATTTCTGAGTGCTTTCCAGCAGCTCACATTCATAGGCACTGTCTGATAATGTAGGAGGACAAATAACATTGTAGTTCTGCAAAAGCAAAAGGTAACATCAAGGATAAAACACTAAATAAAATTACCTTCCTTAAGCATTTTGTTTGTTTGTTTAAAAGTTCCTGATATATTACATAATTCAGACTTTTGCAAGGTAAACTGTCTTAAGTTCTTTAAGAATATTCATGTTAAACTTGCAGTGTTAAAAATTATGCTCTAGGAGGTTTTATTTTTTTCTTTAAAAATTCACTATGAACCACTGCCAATAATTTTAACTTGCATCACCAACAGAAACCCTTTTGTGATAAATTGAATTTCCAGTAATATAAAGAGAAGGAACTTACTCCTATAAGATATGATTAGCCTACTAAATTACTTGCATTCATCTGATATGCTCATTGAAAAAAAACCAAACAAACAAACCTGGAGATTATAACCTAGATAAGCATAATCATGTCAACACTCACATAACAGAACAATAAATACAGCTATGAAGAAAAGAAACAGGAACTCTCCTACCTGGTGCAACTGCTTTGAATTTTTTCAGGAGTCGGATGTGAGTTTCAGGTTTAACAGCATGCTTCACCACTTCTGAGCAACCGCAGCTTTCAAGTAGTGTAAAATAATAAAGCAACCGCTGATGATCTCTACCTTCAATACTTGGGTAAACATATTTAACCATGTGTTCATGTAAGGTTTCAGGATTGGTTTTCAAAGTCTCAAAGAGACCAAGACTTTGTGCTCTTTCTTCTATTTCCAATGTTGACAACCTGTGTTTAGAAAGAAGTTTGGCTTTAAAGGCCAGGGCGTACCATGAAAGACTCTTCAGCTGCACACTTGGGAGACAGGACAATGCTTTCCTTTGTTTAAGGTTCAACTTTGTAAAACATTTTAAAAGAGTAAATACTTATTCATAAATATTTAGATAGCTGTTATTCTCCATAAACAAAAGCTAAGGAGCTCTTGTCTTTCCTTGTACATATCTGTTGAGTTGGATGTGCAGATTAAAGGTCACGAATACTGAAGTGCAATTCAAAGCAGCATTTCACATCTCTATGTAGAGCTATATGTAGAAGTAGACATATGTCCAGGATATGTGTACAGGAAGCCTTTAAAAAAACCCAAAAAACCCCCAAAACCCCAAACCCCTATGGCTGAATGATGATACAAAATCCTATTGCCCGATTATAAGTTCTCCCAATCTATGACATTGTATTTTCTGTAGTCGATGAACACCTGTGCGTGCCATGAGAGATATTATCACTGAAAATTGGCTCTTGCCCACTAGTTAATCTATTTGACACTATTATTCATGGTTAGCATATTTCATTTGACAGTTTTATCAAGTTGCTTCTCAAATTGTCATCCGTGAAAGCTTATGAAAATATCAGCACGTCTTGGGTTGACCTCAGCCAGTCTTACTGCTTCAGGAAATTTTTTTTCTGACCCTTTTAAAAAGAATACATTAGCTATTTCACAGCATGAATTCAGACACCTCCAGCTGACTACATAAAAGATAGCTGAATGCAATCACTCCTTTTTTCCTCAGCTGGGAGAAAAATGGGTGCATATCAAGGAAGTCTCATCTTAACTTTATACCTTTCTCAACTGAAAGTTTTACCTAAAATCTGAGGGAAGAAGTAACTTACAGACTACCACCTTGACTCTCCCCAGAGTCCAATCATAGGCCACATCAGGTAGTACATTTCATTTGGAAATCTGATGTCTTCCAATCCCATTTGATTTTCTCCTACCTTTAAAATTGATTAAATTAGAATTTCAACATCAATTTTTCCTGAGTATAAATGCCATATGTAAGTTAGTGTTTCCCTTTGATATCCAAGTAAAATAAGCCTCGGTTTCCTTCCTGAAGATGATTTTCTTACAGCAAATACCACAAACACAACCTTCTCTCAGTTTAAAAATGATTCTCTCATTTCTGAGGGAGAATAAATATTCTTGAGTTATTTTCACATTTCAGCCTTGTAAGCACTGTTTTAATTCTCTAAATTCTTGTTATTTGTTAAGTGTTCTACCATATTAATGGAAATAAACACGTATTAATGGAAATAAAGCATCATTCACTCTTCAGATGTGAATTAATCAGACAAAACAGACACTTGGAACTGATCTGTTTCAAAAGCGTGATCTGAATACATTTTTTTGTCCGCACCCAAAGTTCAAACTAAAGGCTAGATGGACATTAAATTATATTGACAGGATCTACAGAGGTTTGCTGGGTGCTTTTGGGGAAGGGCTGGTGGTGGATAGGAAGGATTCATTATGCTGTTCAGAAAGATCCTGCAATAACAGATTCTGTGACAGGCAAACATACAATTTCCTGTTGCTGAAATCATAAAATGCATTTTATAGATTTTTGGTCATCAAATGTGTTTGGATTCTTCAAAAGAAACAATTAAATTTCTGTTGAATTTTTTTAAAAAAGTAATTCCAAACAATTTTAATCGGATTCAAATTCACAGCATAACAGAAAAAAATATGATGTTTATCTGCCATCAAGCAAAGAAATAGTTAATACAAACTATGTAAGCACTTCTTTTGAGCTTCTCCCTACATAAACTGGCTTATAGAAATACTCCATATTTGGCTAAAGAGATTAAGTCTTAGAATAAACTTCTTTCAGTTCAGAATGAATGCATAACAAGGCATGCATTATTAATGCCGTAATCCCAAGACTAAAATATACTGTAATGGCCATATGCTGTCAATCAACTTTAAAATGAGATTATGATACAACAAAAAACATGCACAGCAGCATATTATGCTATTATACATCAATTTTCAAGACTTTTTTGAATTTCATTAGGGAAAAGGTTGTTACTTTGTACTTCAGTGGTTTCAGAATTCTATGAATACTAACTCATAGAGGACAAGAACAAAGAAAACGATAGAAACCTGTTGCAAAATACCTTAGGTAATATTCTAGTCCCAGAGAAGTCAGCTGGCTCTTTCACATTCACCCTAGTGTTGCCATGTATATACCCTGTCTATTTTGTTTAAAGCACTAAATAATTTAGCAGCATCAAAATTTAGAGGGTATGACTTCTCTGTTTTCTGGAGAAGCAAAGAAAATTTCAGAATGTTATTTTAACTTCTCAGATCTTGCACCAACATCTATCAGGCTTGGCTTTTTTATGCCTCATGTTTTATAAAACATTTTAACGCTTTTTAATTAATAGTTAATGTTAAGAGAGGTACAAATACTGCTGCAAGCTAAAGCTGCTTTCACAACTTAAAATTTGAAACAAACTAGACTAATTTGATCATGTCTCTCAGAACAGTAGATCTGCTGTATTACACAGGGGGCTCTACATCACTGTCATCCAAATGCACTATTCAGGCAAGCAGCTTAGTTTTTATATCGAACGGGTTTATTCATCTTTCAGTGGGCAAAAAATACTTGTCTGACTGACAAGATGACAAAGTTTAAAAGAAAAAAGAAAAAAGAAAAAAGAAAAAGAGTAAAAACTAAAAGAAAAAAGAAAAAAGAAAAAAGAAAAAAGAAAAAAGAAAAAAGAAAAAAGAAAAAAGAAAAAAGAAAAAAGAAAAAAGAAAAAAGAAAAAAGAAAAAAGAGCCCTGGAACAAACTCTGGAATAGAAATGTAAACCATCCCTCCTTCCACGCCCCCGCCAATGCCAGGTCTGGTCTACCATAATCTTGTAGGCCAAAACAGTTCCAAGGAAATACTGGGGAAAAAACAAAACAAAACAAAACCAAACAAAAACTAAACAAAACAAACAAACCCAAAAAAGCTCCTATAAAAACCTGGAACTGAGATCAACAGGTGAATAATGTGAATAGGAAACTCAAATATATTTACTTCCTTTGCTATTATGTAGAAGAGAGCTCAATAAATAGCAAAACTATTTTAAAAAAATTAAAAAAATAAAAAATTATCAAGCTTCAGGACCTATTCCAAGGGACTGTAAAAATAACTATAAGGTAATTTGCTATCAGAAGAACGCACTAAGCATTCAAAGCCATGGAAACCTAAACACTGAAACAAAGTCCTAGGATTCTTAAAAGAACAGTAAGACACACACGGACTTTTATCCTTGCTAGTAACACCTATTTTCATGGCTGATTACAAAAGCATCCTATGGAAAAGACAAAAATGCCCAAATAATCATAACATAAGAAATATGAAAACACAAACCAAACTCTACCCCCAATATACTTCAATTTTCTCATAGGTTAGCACATGTTTCTGTGTAACAGAATCCTATGTGTATTTCCAGGGGAGACAACATACCCACTGTCGGTGAACAAAAATTCCAGATGGGTCATATAAACTTCCCAAAGTGGGACACTGTATCGCTGAGCCAAAGAAACAGCAATCTTGTAGACATTCTCTTCAAGTGTTCTTGTAGAGGAGAAACATGAAAGAAAACAAGGAAGAGAAACACTAAGCCCCTAGAAACATGTTACGAAAATGAATATTTACATTAGAAAAGTAGCAATTTAATTTTTTTTTTCCATAAATGAAGAAACTAGAATCACAGTTAAATAAAAAACCCACAAAGTGTGTCTTCCTGCATTTGTCTATAATCAGTGCTGCATTTGGGAAAAAAAAATTTAAAATAGAAAAAAATTTTAAAAAATCAAACCACAGACTTATTGTAAAGACAGGCACCTGCTCCACATACACTTTGGTTCTCAATGACAATTTCTGTTTAACTTTTGAGCTAAAGCAAACCCGTCAGTTTTCATTTCATTTCATTTCAACTACAAAGCGATAAAGGATGTAATGTGTTGCAGTTAGCATTTATTTGATTTAGTTGCAAAACCTACAGTGTTTTAGCACAACTGGTATGTAAGTCCTCAAAGCTCTTCCTACAAGTTCCCAGACAGAAACACTTTTAGTATTTGCAGACTAAAAGAAAGTGTGAAAATGCCCAGCTCCGCTATGTAAATGTCCAAGGAATACTAAAAGCTGGTTTTCTGTTACTGTATATCCCTTAAACAGAAAAAAATAGATGGAAAACGTTAAGTGACAAAAGCCTGGAGTTAGCTTCATATTGATTTTTACTAATTCACCGAAGCTAGTACGGCTCAAATAGACACACATGAGTTTTGGTTTTATGTTGGTACAGGTACAGTAGAAAACTATTAAGGCTGATGCTGGGTTTTGGGGGTTTTGTTTTTTGGTTTGGGTTTGTTTGGGTTTTTGGCTTTTTTTTCAGAATAATTCCAAGAAAAATACTATCTGTTTATAATTTCATCCTAATAGACCTGACACGAACAACTTTTTTAAAAAAACGTATTTAATGTGAATATTGCCGACTATGTTGTTTTAGATTCTTTAATTAAAAAGTCATGTAGAACTAAGGAAAAAAGTCTTGAAAAACATGAACTATTACAAAATACAATTGCAACTGTCAATAAATTAGTTTATAAAATTATATTAACAAAATTATATTATCGCTCTTTTACAGACTCATGTTAAAAAGAGTTTACTCCATAAACTTGAGCGACCTAAGCATATTATGTTTAACACCTTAACAGCTCCCTTAGACTCATTACATTGTTTTCTATAATACTGGAGGGGTGGTGACAGGGGAACAACGGACACACTTAGCAAAGCAACAATAACCTTTAGAACAACCTTTTCTATACTATCATCATGATCCAAGTATGGCAATAAAGGGAAAGCAGAACACACACCTCCAGATGAGAAACCACATCCTCCTAGTTCTTTTTTTGTCATTTACAAACGTAGATCTATACCATATCTTGATCTATTCTAAACCAAGCTTATTGCTGGAGTCTATGATTTTGTCTCCGCCCTTGGTGAACAGCTGACACATCCGTACACCTTAACTCTGATTTTTAGATGCTCAGTCCAACATATCATTACATTCCACTGTGACAGTTGCTACAGATACTGCAGAATTAAAGTAAAATCTAGTACACAGAGAAGAAAACCAAAATGCCAAGAAAGAACATAATGCTGAAAAAGCTTCACAACCAGCTATCAGAATAGCCTTTGCCCCTAATAGTTTAAAAAATCAAACCAAAACAACAAAAAAACACCCCACACAAACTACAAGCAACAACATAAAACAGGTCTTAGTAATAACAAACCCTGAAAATATTAGGCACTTTAACTGAATAAAATGCATGGACATTAAAGGAGGCAGAACACAAGCATTAAAAAGAAATAGATTTTGATACAAATAAAAGCATTTACTGAAATATATTTAAGAAGGTGGTAAAAGAAAAGAAAACAAAAAAGCACAAAAAACCCCCCACGCTATCCTGTCTCTTCTGTTCCAATGGCCACGGCACCTTTCTCCTGATTTTCCAGCACAGCAAGGCTTCCTGCACCCACCCTCTTGAAACTAGACTCAATACTTCAATGCAAACAGAAGAACAGCTTTTAACCCAGCCAGCAATGATGTATAAGATGATGATGATCTAAACTTTTTCAGAAGTACTCAGTAAGAGTCATCTAATCTTTAGAGGCAGATGCTCTATTCTATTTTTTGACATTAAGGAGAAGTACCATGACAACACTACATTGTAAATTCCAGATGAGTAGCCACAGTTTGTGCAGTTTGTCATTCAGTACATAAAAGCTGATCTTTTTTTAACCAGGGATACACAACAGCTGTTGCCAAATCACAACACATCTAAACTTCCATTCCTTTGCGTTTTCCAGAAATCGTTTGATGTACTGTCAATAAGGGGATTACTAGTTAAAGTGAAGGTGAAGATTGATGCAAGAACCGCACGGTGAGTATGCCACCGGCTAAGGGGAGGATAACAGGATATTTGGGAAAAGGTACACTGGAGGTGATGAGGTTAACGGCAGTATTCTGCAGGCTAGTACTCAACACTGATCTCAATGCTTTCATTAATTAAAGTACAATATATTACTTTCCCTGTATCATCAATTCAGATAAAGAGTATCTTGACAGAAGGGAAAGATGATCTTTAGGAATGATCTAATAACTCTCTGCTTAAAAAGTAAATACTACAACAACTTCTGAAATGAAATGAGTGGTTCTAAAATGAACCATGGAGTTACTGGAGAGAGCCAGTGAAGGACCACAATGATGATTAAGGGATGGAACATCTCTTCTATGAGGAAAGGATGAGAGAGCTGGGACTGTTCAGCCTGGAGAAGAGAAGGCTTAGGGGAGAGCTCATGAACATACATAAATACCTGAAGGGAGGGTGAAACAGGAGGGAGCCAGGCTCTTTCCAGTGGTGCCCAGTGACAGGACCAGAGGCAACAGGCACAAACTGCAACATGTGAGGTTCCATCTGAACATCAGGAAACAGTTTTGCACCATGAGGGTGACTGAACACTGGGACAGGTTGCCCAGGGAGGCTCTGGAGTCTCCAACCTTGGAGATACTCAAAAGCCACCTAGACATGAACCTTGACAAGTGGCTCTAGGTGGCCCCGCTTTGAGCAGGGGGGTTGGGCAAGATGATCTCCAGAGGTCCCTTCCAATCTCAACCATTCTGTGACTCCGAGATTCAGTGAAAGAGGAAGAGGATACAAATGCTTTAGTTACACGGTAACTCTGTCAATCATGCAAATAAGGAGTGGCTGTTGGAACTGGTGGGATCCATTCTGCCCAGCACTTTATAAACCTCACTAAAATCCTGCCTTTCTGTCTTAAGAGCAGCGTGCAGTGGCAGTGTAAGGCAATGAAGGTTTAAGGAAATGATATTTTATAAATGAAGAACAGTATCAAGCTATTCATTGTCAAGATAACACTGACAAGACAAGACCAAGTAGTTGTCACACAATGAAAAGCTGAAAAAATGGTCATTACTTTGTAAAGGACCTTTTCTCTTATACACCCCTTTTCATGCCCAGCCCTAACTGGGGCTTTTTCTATCTTGTTCTCCAAAAACTCTGTTATATCATACATGTGTATGTGTTTCCTCACCATCACTGTCTTTAACAATTTCTGCTGGCATCAATCAGCTACAAAGCATTAGGACCACCACTGGATTAAATCATAATAAAGGAAAATGAGATCCACTTTTCAAGTCACTCATCCTCAAAAAATATTTAAATAAAAAATAAAAAAAAAAAATCCAACTTGGAGAAGTGAAATGAAGATCTAAGCCAAGAGTCTTAGTTTCACCTCATCTTTGAAGCAGGGAAACGAGATGGAAGGCTACAGCTGTTTGTTAAGTTCTGCAGCAGCAATGCATCAGGGAGAAAAGGCTGTGTCTACACTGCCAACGCAGCAGAAAAGAACAGCAAATGCACACACAGTGTTTCACAAAATAATGTCACTAATAAGAGCCGAAGTACATTCAAAGTGGTTTTATACAGGACCTACTGGTTTAGTCTTCTGGAAAAGGACCTAGTTCATATGCAGCAAAATCATTCCAAGAACCCAATAAGCACAAGCTAAGTTATGAAATTCAGATTACTTGATAATTGCACAATTTTTCTAAAAATCTAAACTAAGTATTCTAGATCAGTGATGTAGACAAGGAAGAAATTAGTATTAAATCATTAAAACCAACTTTTGATTTCAACATTTTAAGAGAAGCAGTGAAGGGCTGAAGACCTCAGAGCAAGTGAATAAAAAAAAAAAAGCCACTCAAAAGCTGGCCTCAAGTAAAAGAATAACTTAGAAACCTTATACACCAGAGTTGGCCTGAAGCTATATGGGACTTCACCTGATTACTCAAGAATTCCCATTCAGTCTTGCTCTACTTTCCCTAATTCCTTTCCAGATACGTTCTGGCTCTATTTTACCCAAAGAAACTGTTAAGTGCTTGAGAACTAACCTTGATTAAGTCTGTGAGGCACCAAGATCTTTAAGTACTTGATAAATAATGCATAATAAGCTCTAATGACAATACAGCAAATAAGGAAGATAAAATTGACAGCTATTTGTTAAGTAGTTCTAGCAAATTGCTCATTCTAGTACAAAGCTGTTCTGTAAAAAAGATACCATCTCTTCCAGGTGTTGTTCCTGCAAACAGCACTTCATAGAAGATTAAAAACATGAGGCACTTAATTCAAAAATAAGAAAAAATATGCTACACAATTATATTGAATTTGCACATTGTTTTCATTAGGAAATACAGATTAAGAGTCAAATGAGAAGATTAAAGCAAGAAAGCTGCAAGCTGAGCAAGTAATTAGTTAGATCTTTGCAACTGCCTAATACGGAACTACCACTTTCATCCACATGCTATGTATGAAGCCTTACTAACCCTTTCAGATTGGGTTGCAATCTCTACTTATTGTAAGGAACTTTCTCTTCATATTTACTTTATTTTTACAATAAGACAGTACCTAAAGAACTCTTGGATGAGAATGTAAGCAAGCGTGCTGTATCCAAAATAAATAGCGGTAATAACAGATGGATTTTTGTATTGAAGTTACTGTAGATAATCATCAAGATGTAACCTAGTGACATACTACTGATACGATATGCGCTCAATAAACAATATATAAAAAGCAAGTAACTCAAATGGAAACGTTAAAAGATGCTTACAAGCTATTTTTATGAATGCAGTGCCAAAAACCTATGCAGGTATACATTTTATAGATGCAAAGCAACAGCTTAGTGTTCAAAACCTGAGGTTATACTACTATTCTTATTCAGCATTTTTTAGCAATGTTTTTTTACCAACAATTTTTTATTGGAATTGTAGCTATAAGTAGCTACGTAGGTGGAAAACTCTAAACAAATCACCATGCTCTTCAAAAGCTTTATGCATGGAGTAGTTTAAAATTAAGTTTAAAATGATATTGAAAGCTTATTGCACAAACTCTTCCTTTGACAGTCTAGCAGCTATTCAACTCTGTCTTCAAAACAGATAGAGTCAAGTATATTCATGACTTGTTCACAGCCTAAAGTACCTGCTTGCAGATGTTAATTAAAGGTATTTTTAAAATGAAAAGGCAGTACTATTCTACCTCTTTCCTTTTTTCCTATTCCAGACAACTGAAAGGTGAGACAAAAGCATTCTAAATATCAGAACACACGCAGTGAAGGCTTCAGTACTTTCAAATGACTACAGGCAAAAATATTGTAATATACAGTAGCTTTAACTAAATTATTAAAAAGAAAATACAGGTCATTAACTTTTTTTTTTTTTTTTAAGCTATAGTTCATTACAAACTTTGATGTGTGGGCATACCCTAATAGATTGCTAGGGCAGGTTTGCAGGAGATGATAATAAGAAATCAGACCTCCACCTATGCTGGGATTTCATTCCCTGATTAATATTAGCAGTTAATAAACAAAGAGTTATAGTTTCCATTAAAAGTTATTGATCCATTTATTTGGGCAACATTTCATTTAAGTGGAATATAGTTCAATAGAAAAGGCTCCAACTGTAGCAGCATTACAGTGTAAATAGCTAAAGCAACTGGTAACTTCTCCCTTCTAAAGGTCAGCACTTCTTCCAATTTACTTTCCTGATTTAAAGCTTAAAGTAATTCCATATTAAGACAAAGAAAATATACATAAATAGACATTACTTACTCTGCCAATCCTAGTATTGTTTCTCTCTTGTACTGTGCATCTGCTGTAAACCTCTGCACATCCACTCCTTTGCCAAGTCCTTGCAGAATCTGAGCTTGAGTGAAATCCAGTAGTCGTTCATTGTAGTAATGCAGCTGATTTATCAAAGTTGCGATTTCTTCAGGCCAGTCTGTAGAGCCATACTGAGTAACATGCTTTGTGACCATCTGAATCAACTCTTTTGGATCAGCCTGTCAAAATAATTGACAACAAACTAAAAATAGCCCTGTAAATTTCTGCAAAAAATATCATAGAATCACAGAATATCCTGAGTTGGAAGGGACCCATAAGGATCATCGAGTCCAACTCCTGGCTCCACACAGGACCAGCCGAATCAGAGCATATGACTGAGAGCGTTAAATATATCATTTTATGATTGATCCGTGTGTTCAGAACTGAAACATTTGTTTCCATTTCTGAGACGTTTTATGTACAACAGAATTCCAAATTTTCTGTAAGGGCTATATGCTATGATGTTAAAAATTTATCCTTTTGGAATATTATGCCACAAAAATTAAAACAAACTTACCTAACCAAATTAATAGTGACAACTACTTCACTATGACTGGATTTATTTGTTTTTAAACCCCTCATTCTTATTAATGTTGAACTAGGCAACTGATTGGTAAAACACTTCAAAAAAAATCAAAGCAAACTTACCAAATCTCTCCTCAATTACAAACACTACAATTAAGTTTACTCTAAACCACAGAATCTCTCTCAAAAATAAGAATGGAAACAATATTGCAAACTTTTTTTTTTGTTACTTAATTTCTGATACACTTCTATTACACAGAATTGATAAAAGAAATAGCTCAGCATTTTAAGTGTCAAGCACTGATACTTTCAAAGAATGAGAAGTATTGCAGGATCTGCAAATTACACACAAGGCATTGCCTACACCCTGAAACGTTCAAATAATTAAATATTGATCATCCATGGACTAAGACAACCTTTGTTTTCAAAATACCTTCATCACAAATAAAATTTATTTTTTCTGCATTAGAAATTATGCATCAAGTGCAAATTTAATCACCCACTAACTTCTGTAGTCAAAAACCCACATAGCAAAGCAATAACTTTGAATATGAAACAAATACAGTCTGCATGTTTGAAATGAAAAAGGAATGCATGTACTGCAGAGAGTTCCCATTTATCTCAAGATCTAAGCAGTGGCTATAGGTAGGCACCTCCACTTGAACACAGCTGTGTGCACTACATGTAATCACTCAGCACATTCAGTATCTTGACCTCTTTCTTCCAAGAAAAACAGGGCCATGAGCAGCACAATGCCATAAGGAAGCTGCCAAACGAGTCACCAGAAATACCTGAGGATACCAACTGTAGCTGAAATATTTTCTAAAACAAACAGCTGATTTAACTGCTGTGATCTCAAAAACATTGAGTTTATTGGACAAATACACTTTCTTTTTATTACAGAATGATTCTGCTAAATAAGAAGCTAAACTTACGAACATTAACTAGTGTGCACAGTAGGGTAAAACATGCACCAACTGTTTGAACCTTGAGGCATGCCTGAATATTTCTATGATTTGCTGGTCATTCTAAATGTATTATTTCTTTTTTTCTTTTTTTTTTTTTTTCCTCTCTCCAATTCCTGGCAGACAGGCTGCTCACCAAGTCATTAAATGCTACAGGGCATCCTTTTTCCTCTCCACATGACATTTTTCTGAAGCCCTCTAAACATTGGAAACTCATTGATTTTATAAACAACATCAGTAGCTCTTTCAAGGTTGCTTAGGAGATTGGCAACAGAATAATAAAACCTCAGAGAAGAGATAGGCAAGCAGAGCAGTGCCTCTACAACACAATTATATCAGCTGGAAACCAATCCACTCCTTATTATGTACCCTGGTATCTCATTTTAGGTGATACACTAGAAAACAGAGCATAGAGACAGGGAAAGTCAGAGCAAGATGAAGAAACTTGTTTAACATAATTGCCTAAATGCTCTGTACAGTTCACTGAGAAAGGGAGGTCTCTCTGACAACCTATGAGAGTAAATTTGCTCTCTTTTGCTAGGTTTCCCCTCTCTCCATTAAGAAGAGCAGAATCCAATGTCAGCATTCTTCTTCCATGCACAGCTCACTGTTGTTCATAAAGTACACAAAGACAATCTTGAAAGTATCTTCAAACAAATCCACCAGAACTCTTCCTCAAAAAATGACTTCTGAAGATGAAAATATAACATTTTTAATAAGTTTCCTGAATAGCACATAATTTTTCACTGTGAGGCAGAACTAAATTTGAGAACTTACAACAATAGCTTAAAATAATATTATTTACTAAGACATTAAGATTAAAACCATTTTATTTTTGGTCCACTGTTGTCTTCAACACATTGGACAATCATCTTTAAATGTGAAATTTTTTTTTAAAAGAATAATCTGACACTTTATTTCCAATCATAGTATTCTGACCAAACTGTCACCCTCTCAAATGACATCTATCACTAGTGCCAACCTTTATTCCCCACATTTGTTACATTTCCCTAAAAGACTCTGTGCAATCTTCAATGCTGCCTGTTTATGCTTCAAAGGAACACCTTAAAGCTATCTAATCAGCTTAATCATTTTCCTGCTAATACTTTTGCCAAATGCTACTTACTAAGAAGAAATAATAAGTGTGCGGCTCTGTCAGGACTGCTCTCATATCAAATTGGTCAGTATTGTTTCACTGTTTTTCTTATCTGAACCTCTTCTACCTCTTGTATCACTACTAAGTTATAATAAAAATAAATAAAAAAACCCTGGACCAAGGACCACTGTGTGATAGATACAGTAGTACCACAACAAATAATACCACAGAACCATAGAATGGTTTGGGTTGGAAGGGACCTCAAAGATCATCTAGTTCCAACCCCCCTGCCATGGGCAGGGACACCCTCCACTAGA